ATCCAACTCAGGACCTTATGGCACCTCTGAGCTAAATCTCCACCCCCTCTTTGTTTTTAGAGTGTAACTTTGACATTAAGATTGAATTGCTGAAGGCTATGTAAAGTTTAGCTAGAACAGCCAAGCTAATCCATTAGAAAGATATTCAGTATTATCTTCTTCCAAAGATATTGTTATACTGAAAAGAACAGAAATTTGTGCATAAGACAATTCAAGTCCTGCCTTTACTGTTTTCTAGTGAGGGAAACCTTTCTGTAAAATGAGGATGATAAAGCACACTTCCTAGAGTTGAGAGAGCATGGAAGGCCATATATGTAAAATGCCCAAGAAAAGGTAGTTGGTTAACAGGTATTCCTCTAGCAGAGTGGTTAAGAGCAAGCATGAACTCTGGGGCCAAAGGATCTGGGTTCAAAGCCTGATTCTTCCACTTTCTACTAGTATGACTATAGGCAGATGTCCCCACTTCCTGTGCAGCCAACTTGCCTCTCCCCTGTCATCTTTAGAGGTGATAGTGATGATGGTTCATAACTGTCCCTTGTGTCCAAGGCTATTGTGAGAGTTAAATTTATGTGTTAACTGTTCTTATGACTACTTTACTTAAAGCAACGAGGAGGAGGGAGTATTGTACATAGCCTTTGAAGGCCAGCTGGGACTCCTGTCCTCTGTCCTTTGTCCTGTGCACTAAAATGTAGAAGAGTACAAAAAGTGACTAAGGGACTGGGCTTGAATTGGCTCTGATTCATGTACGAAGGAAGTCATTCAAAAGCGCCAGTATTTCACACATCAAATTAGAGAGGAATAGCCTCGTACTGAGGCAGGATGATGGAAGGGTTGGAGCCTTGTGCTTCAGGAGCTCTGTGTGCTGTGATATAACTTTCTGAAGTAGACACCCCTGCCCAGTTTACTGACAGGCTATAAGTGGCACAGGCTTCTTGCTTCCCAATAATTTGGTCCAACCAAAGCCTATGTGACTCACATGGGCTCATCAAATGGCAGAGTTAGGTGAGCATAGTCCTCTGCCAGTGGTTGCCATGGAGACCTAAGTCATGGTCTGTGAACCAGCAGGGCCCTGTTGAGTTAACTTCCAGTTGAGTTCAGTGTGACCCCAATTAAAGTCCTTTCCCTGAATTAGGGCTCACCCATCCTGGTGAAAAGCAGTGCCCTCGGCTCAGGACCCAATCACTGCCTACTATGGTCTTTCTCTTATGGGTCCCACCACCTTTCAGCATTGCCACAATGAAGACCAAGCTTCCAGTACACAAACATCTGGGGGATACACTCAGCCCATATCCAAGTCATAGTGCCTCCCGCCAGCATCCTGAGGAGGTGAGGGCTGGTGTTTCCTTTGTTGACAGCTGGAAGGTCCCCATGCTCCTTTCTGTGGTTTGCTGGGAGAGCAGAGGTGCTAGGAAGGGAGTAGGGTCCCAACAAGGAGCTTACTGACACCATCCTCCGCCTCTCTGGCTTGCTGATCAGTAAACCCCATCCTTTTTCACATACCTCCCCAACGTTTTTGTTCTTGAAGTAGAGACGGGAGCAGCTTTGAATCCCCACACAATGTTGAGGACATTTGGTATCAAGCATTATGAAAATTAGATTCACCAGATTTTTAGACACAGAAGAAAACTTGGAGATGATCCTTGTTTTATTCTCTTATAAGAATAAATTTGAGATGTGAAGAAGCTAAGTCACTTGCTTTTTCAATCTCACACGTGAAAGCATTCTCATGAGAAACTGACATTCTTTGCAGCTCTTAGATGGGAATGAGGGAATTAGATTGTCCTAATTCTGTCACTAAATTTGGACAAGCCACTTAACTTCTCCAGAACCCCGTTGCTTCATTTCAAATATGAGGGGCATTTCTAAATGGCTTTAAAAGGACCTTGCTAGCTTTAAAGTTTTATGAATCAGTGCATGCTGCCAGGGGTAGATGGCATAGCAGCATTTTTGTGTTCTGGGTAAGAGTAGAGTAGATACAAAGGGTCTGTCATGAGGAATAGGTCTTGTATCACATGGCTCTACTAACAAGAACATAAGTGGAGACTCACTGTAATAATGAATCATAGCATTTCTTACTATGAAGGAAGCAGAAGAGGCCTCATTGGAGAAAGGGTTCTCTCTGGTCTTAAGTGCCAATGGTTCTACCTGGAGTTGAGTGTAAATGGTGTGTATTGAGATAGGTTTAAAAGTAGTTTAATGGCTTGTTAGTGTTGTTGAATAGTTCATTTATTTCCTGATATTTTTATTGAAAAGTAATGCATTACTTAGTCTTGAGTTATGATGAATCTTAGAAGAATCTTAATTTCTTGTATGAAATCATAGCTATGTCTGACTGAGGTCACACAGATAGCTTGACATTTTATAAGCAGCATTCAGATCTAATCTACTTATTACAGAGAAAATAAGAACATGCCACAAGTTATCTTTAACATGAAAACTAGGCACTCAAATAGCTTTGTTAATAACATGGCAGAAGCAATTTGGTGACTATTTACCAGGTGATTTAAATGACAAGCACACAGAAAGTAATTCTGCTATTTTTGTTGCCACCGGATTAATAACTGCTGCACCTAAAATAATTGATGGACTTCAGATCTACCCTTTGAGGTAATTCCAGTGCTTCTTTGAACGTGTCTTGGGATTAACAGCTGTCAACAGTTAGAATTTGAAACAGATTCAGTTACAGGGCTGGATATCAAGCTAGACGTTTAATGCCACTTTCACCTGTAGACAAGAGAGAGAAAAAATGATAGACCATTATTTATTGCGTTATACAAACTTAAAGTCTACCTTATCAGGAAGCGCTACACACCAAGAGAAGAGGGTCAGGGACTACACTTTCACAAAATATATTTGAACACTTAAAGAATTTGTTTATTTCTAAACTTTTGAACAGGTGAGATAAGAAAAACAAGCTCTGAATAGTGCTCAAGTTATACTATAAAATTTACTTTTAGAATGATGCCACGTATAAAAACATAGAGTAAGAAAGAGACTCCTGTTCTATTTCAGAAAAGGTCAAAGTACTGCTTTTCAGAACCTCTGACCTTAAGAATTTAAGAAGCTCGCAGTCCTGTTGAAGGGCACCTCTTCAAACTCTTGGAATAAATTTGATGGTTAGGTACAGAGTGTGGAATGATAGGCCCATGGCTGTTCTAAACCTCCTTGGAAGAAATGGGGGGTGGTTGCTCAAGTGATGACACAAATATGAGTTGGAATTAAAAGATAAGAGTAGGGGTGGTTGGGAGATGATTCTCTGTGGGTCTCATGTTTTTACTCTTCTTGCGAGCAGGACTGAATGCCTTGTTCAGGATAACATTTTCAATCATGTTTCTACAGCAAACAGCGTGGAACAGAGATAATGTCTTTCACTGGTGCAGGAGTATAAGTGCTTACCGTACAATATATTCAAGCCCCCCCCACACCCAGTTCTTCTGTAACTCGTTGTAATACAAGTGTCACCTGGCCTGTGCGGTTCAGAGGGGTCAGAGAATTAACCCAAATGCTGACTCTCTGGCTACTGCTGTTGGTCCCAGTAATCTTTAGTCTCTGGCCCAGGAATCTCATGTCTCCTACCAGTAAGTTAACTTGTGGCATGAAAGTTTGTTAGCTTGCAGACCTTGTGTAGTGTGTGAGAGATATTATGTTCCAGAGAGAGAGGAATAGTATGTACTATAGCACAGAGGCATGAGGAGTCACACCTCATGTGAGGAACTATGACTAGTTTTCCAACTTTAGATCCAAAAGGTACATGAAGGAGGACATAAAAGACCTTATGTGCCATGTAGAGGAGCTTAGATTCTGAAAATTTCCTGAGCCCCTCCTCTGTCACTGCAGGGTACTGGAATGAATGGTGAAGGAGGGAGAAGCAGTGCCCAAGGTTGTAGAGTTTCTCCTTGTGACCATGCTCAAGAGGTGCCGGAGACACTGAGGGTCCAGGGAATGAAGGAGTAGAGACTAGGCCTTGTGATCTTTGAGACAACTGAGTTTTGTGCAAAAGAGTTTTTGCTGAAACAAAGGGAAATGCAGTTGAGAGTTGGGGTCTAGTAGAAGTAACAGTGACATCTGTTGGTGAAGAGGGGCAAGGTGTTGGGGGGATGGCTTGTGGTATGTGAATTAAAATGAGTTTTAAGATGGCTTTTTTGGGAAAAAAAATGGCACTGAGTATGAGTCAGTGGGATATGAACTTGTGGTTTACAGAGAGTCTTTTAAGATTTCAGTAGGGAGGGCCAGGGATTTAGCTCAGTGGTTCTGTCACCTGCCTCAAAAGCACAAGGTCCTGAGTTCGATCCCTAGTTCCAAAAAACATTTTTTTTTTTCTGTAGGGGCTGGGATGTAGCTCAATATTAGAGCACTTGCCTACTATCTGTTAGGTCCTGGGTTCCTAAGCAGCACACACACTCACACACACACACACATACACACACACACACACACACACACACACACACACACAAAGGTAAAGTTTGAATAGTAACATAACTAGATCAGTTGTTTGAAATTAGCTTGGTTCATTAGACCATAGTGATGGATGGCTACTATTTTCTTCACAAGATTTTTTTTTCCTTAGATAGTCACCTGTATTGAATTTTATTATCTTGAAAAAATTCTTTGAAATAATTATTCAGTGATACAATAGAGTTTAAAGCTATCAGAGTAGCACTCTATTATTTCCTCTTGTGGTTGCCTTTGCTGGACCTATGAGGCTTATGTTTAACAGTAGTTTCCCAGCAGGATCTTGGTACTCCATAATAAGTGTGACACCTATGCCATTACTAGGCTTTACATGTAATATGATTGCAAGAAAGCTCTTTCTGGGCAGAGCAGATCATTTGAACTAATATCCATTTCTTCTTACATTTGAGTTTCAGACTTTTAAGTTCTGGAATAATAACTCTCTCAAAGCAGATACTGCTATGTCTTCATTAAGTTCTAATGCCTCTTGTTTTTCCTCCCACAGGATTCTGCATCAGAAGTGTGTAAAATAGATTGCTTGATCCAAAACAAAAAATCAGTGGCAAGATTTTGCTGAGTCTCTAAAACTTTTCCCAAGATGGAACCGATAACATTCACAGCAAGGAAACATCCATTTCCCAGTGAAGTCTCGGTGGACTTCGGCCTTCAGCTGGTGGGCTCCTTGCCTGTACATTCTCTGACCACCATGCCCATGCTGCCTTGGGTTGTGGCAGAGGTGCGAAGACTCAGTGGTCAATCCTCCAAAAAGGAGCCCATCATCAGGCAAGTCCGGCTTTGGGTTTCACCCTCTGGACTGAGATGTGAACCTGACCCAGGGAAGAGTCAACAATGGGATCCTTTGATCTGCTCCAGCATCTTTGAGTGCAAGCCTCAGCGTGTTCACAAATTGATTCACAACAGTCATGACCCAAGCTACTTTGCATGTCTGATTAAGGAGGATGCTGTCCACCGGCAGAGTATCTGCTATGTGTTCAAAGCTGATGATCAGACAAAAGTAAGTTGAGGGCTGGGAATGTTGCTCAGTGTTGCCTCACCTGGCAAGCACAAGGTCCTGAGTTCAATTCCGGGGTGGGGAGGGGGTCTGATTGAAATGAGTAAGGCCTGGCTGAATAGTTTTTCTTGTAGAGGGGTAAAGAAATTAATTTTAAGTATCCTAGAATGAGTAAGGAAATAATGCTGCAGTTATATAGAGGTTATTTAACAAAGTTTTTGATAAATGGGGATAGCTTATAGCTTTTTTCCTGAAGGACTTTTTGTTTGTTTCTTTTGTTTTTTGAGACAGGGTCTCACTATGTAATTGAGACTGACCTGGAACTCACTATGCAGCCCAGGCTGGTCTCACACTCACAGCAATTCTCAATTCTAGTATCCTAGAATGAGTAAGGAAATAATGCTGCAGTTATATAGAGGTTATTTAACAAAGTTTTTGATAAATGGGGATAGCTTATAGCTTTTTTCCTGAAGGACTTTTTGTTTGTTTCTTTTGTTTTTTGAGACAGGGTCTCACTATGTAATTGAGACTGACCTGGAACTCACTATGCAGCCCAGGCTGGTCTCACACTCACAGCAATTCTCTTGCTTCAGCCTCCCAAGTGCTGGGATTACAGGCATGCGCCACCACGCCCAGCCTCCTGAAGGATGTTTTAAACAGATACTCGAAATTATAAGTTTATAATTTCAAAAATTCAACAGAGAAATCTGTATAGAACTATAAACAAGAGCTGGAGCATTAGGACTCATCCTTTAAGATGTCTGTCCTAAAGATCCAGTGCTTCTCCAACTGAAATATGCTGGTGAATCACGGGGGTGGGCTGAAATGCAGATTTGGACTTGGTAGCTGATGGGGCCCAAGACTGCTTCCACTCCAAGACTGTCTCTCACAAGCTTCTGGTGACACCATTGCTGTCCTTTGCAAGTTGTACTTTGAGTAAGAAAGTTCTAGATCAGTGATCTCCACATTTTTAATGCCATTTAAAAATATAGTTAAAATATAAACTGTGTGAAAATGCTTTTAGCCAGTTTCCTAAGACATAATGCTCATTTAGGCAAAGGTAATTGATAACAACAGTGGATATGAATCTAAGTTTTGATACTTTCATGGTTCTTTTTGTTTTTTTCTTTTACCAACTTATCAGATTTGATAAGTTTGTTACTGTTTTATGATGTACCTGAGAAAAATGTATGAGGTGTAGTCAAAGCTCTGCTATTTTCTTGCTCAGTTATGCTCACATTGTTACTAGCATTATTTGTAGTTCTTTGCAGGGCTTATCTAATACTACTTGTACGTTTCGTGAGGATTTGTCTCGATAAAATTGAAGATATAACCCACATGGCCAATTTCTCAATTGTGCCATGAAAAAGTGCAATTCATACAATATACAAAAAATAATAAGCAGGGGAGAGTCCCATCGCCAGAACTTCCCTGTGACCACAGGTGCCAGGCCTGCCTGAGTGACTCCAGCTGTGGGCCACAAGTACTGGGTGAGGATGCCACTGGCCATCCATAGAGCACAAGTCCATAAAACCTGACCTTTCCCATTTTCAAATTTAAAATATGAATCAAAACACTAATGTTTTCTATATTGATCCCCATTCGATTATTTGGCATGTTCTCCGGGGTATAAGAACCTAATTTGGAAGTAAATACTTCTGGTACCAAGTATAGTTGTCCCTCTGTACTGCTGGCTGAATCCATTCTTCCTTCATGCATTCAACCAATAGGAAATATTTATTTGGAAAAAAAGTTGTGTCTGTACTGAATGTGTACAAGTTTTCTTTTCTTGTCCTTCTTCCCTAAATAATATAGAATGACAACTACTCACATTATAGTAGGGATTATAAGTAAGTCAGAGGAGACTTCAAGTACATAGGAGTCTGTGTATGGATTGTATGAGAATTCCACGCCTCTTTATATAAGAGATCTGAGCATCTCCAGGTTTTGGTGTGGGCATGAGGTCCTGCAGACTCCAAGGACAGCAGAGATGGGTGGAGATTTGCTTTTGTTAGCTCACTGGTTGCTTCTTTTACTGACTGATTCAGGGACTGCTGCTCCAGGTACTGTGGAGATGCCTTAGAGAGGCAGTGAGTGGGATGGCAGAAGCATCAGTACAGAATCAGATCTGGTGGTACACAGGGCATGATGGGAAGACAGAGGTGAAGCCTCACACACACCCAAGGAGAGGGAAGCCTTTCTGAGCTCCAAACCTCCAAACACTTGGGAGGCTGAGGCAGGAGGATCACTGTGCGTTTGAGGCCAGCCTGGACTACATATTGAATTCAAGGTCAGACTGAACTATATAGTGAGACCCTGCCTCAACAACAACAAAAAATTCTACATAAATAACCTTCATAGTTCTTATTATCAGGGCATATTCCAAAATGAAAACAAGAGGGTTGAACAGCCTACCCCTAGGCCAGCTCTCGACAAGGCCTGCCTTTCCTTGGGGGAGGTTTATATGGAACGGTTGTTCAGCACTTTGCATTTCTGACTTTCTCAGAATCTTTCACAGCCACCTGAGAATAGGCTCTGGATAGTCATTTAGATACTTGACAGGAGGAAAGGTTTATAACTAAATTATATAATTGAGACTTGCTGTCTTGCCCAAAGTAGAGATCTGACCTTATTCTATATTCTGAAAGATATGACTTAGTTCTTCAGTTATTTTTGGCTTGCATACAATTTTTACAAAGACAAATTGTCGTTACTAAGAGTATAAAATGTTGCCATTCTGCTCATTTTACAAAGGAGTTATTTGTAATACAGGTACTTCAATCAGGGAGTTGGTTTCTGGAAACAGAATGGTAAATGATATTAGTCATGCTTCTTCTAACTGCCGTGGTGTCTGTTACATCCTCGGGACCCCGATACCACAGCACCACGTGGAGAGGATTGCCGGCAGCGGGACAGTGTTAACCTCCACTGTCATTTTTCTTGACTCTTTGTCAAGACGCTTGCTCAGAAAAAGAATTCTCCAGATTAAGACCTTTTCTAAATAGATGAGCTCAGCATCTACTGTACTTGCCAAGGGAGACATATGCATTTGCTGCCAGGGTCAGAAACACAGAATTCTCTTTGAGAGGAAATCCTTTGATCAGCATCTAAATTAACTTGTTGAGAAATGTCTAGGGAGAACAGAAACATAAATTAATAATTTTACAAATGCACTATGAGATGGTGTTTCCCGATGTAGGCCCCATAGAATGTACTCAAGCTGTCTACACAGAGAGTTTCCATGGCCAAATGCAGCAGGGCAGATTTTTAAAGTTATTGGTAATCCTAGAAAGCAGCAGTTGACATGGGCTATATCTGTGAAGATTCACTCCACTTGAGATATTGTAAAGATACTGATTTTTAAATTTATTTTAAAATAGAAGTAATAAACTCTTATACATTAACATAAATAATGTTTTTGTACATAGTAACGGTATTTTCCAAAAGCTAGTTAGCAGTAAGGATGGCTACGTTAGTCAGCTTTCCATTGCTGGGACAAAATACTTGAGAAAACAACTTAGAGAAAGAAAAGTTTGTTTTGGTTCGAGGGTTCAGCTTTCAGTGGCTGGCTCTATTGTCTCTGGGCCTTCAGGGAGGCTGAACATCTTGGTGGGGAACACATTGTAGAGTATAGAACTATTCACCTCTTAGAGGCCATGGAGCAGGAGAGAGGGGTCCCAGGGACAAGATGTGTCTTTCCAGGTGACTCCCCAGTGACCTACTTCCTCCAACCTGGCCCCACTCCTGAAATTTCAGCCACCTCCCAGTAGCCCATTTAGTTATGAACCCATGAATGAATTGATATGCTGATTAGGTCAGAATATAGTCACCTCTCCATACCATCCCTACCATAATAGTGGCATAGTTTTATTTCATTGTATTTTTCCAAATCTTTATAATATCTGGATTCATAGAAGGTGATTGGATTCTCATGGTTGCTTCTTCATTCTTTTGATTGAGTTTGTGGAGAAACTTTGACCTCACACAGATATGTTGCTGGAAAATAGAGAAATTGTGGATGTGCTTCTTTAACACTACAACTCAACAAGTGGTAGTTTCTTAAAGGTTGGCTGCAGTGTGAAATCTGAAACCATATCAAAGCACATTTTGCATTTTGTTATGTTAAATCCATTGTTCTAAGTTTTGTTTTAGCGCATGTTCTAAGTATGCATGATTGTGTACTCTCATGCATTCGTTTTTTAGCAAACATTAGTTCTTTGACCATACACAAACATTAGTTTGTGTAGACCATACTGGGAACACTGCTGCATTATGGAAACACTGCATTTCCTGTTCCTCTCTTGAGTTGTATGTTAGTGCATTAAAAGCTCTACAAATTCCTGCAGCAAGACAAGACTCTTTAGCCCGATGAGTGCAGTTTTCTTCAAATTGTGGCACCATAGCTTACACTTCTTTGACAACCCATAAAGCATAGTTTACAGTCTGAGTTCATAGTAAGGAATGAATGCATCCACTCTGGAAAACTGGTGCCTGCATGGGTGACTCTCATTGGATCTTTTCCCTCGTCAGTTCACAGAAAAATCATGAATTCTTCTCAGACTAAGGCCTAGAAAAATCATGAAGTTAGAAAATCAGCCAGAGCTCCATTCTCTTCCAGTCCTTCAGCATCGCTTCCTCTGCACTCAGTGTCTGATCTGCCTCTCAGACTGAGGCCTGCCTACTTTGGCTCATTCATAAAAGAATTTACACGATAATCCTGCATCGACGGAGTAAAAAGCTCAGTTTCCTTTAGAGAATTTCTAGCACCAAGGAGAGGTTATAGAAGTGTCGCATTGATCTTCTAACCTTGTATGCTGTTGTTTTCTGGCAATCAAAGATAAAAATGGATTTTCAGTGGCAGGTGTTACTAATATGGTAAAAACTAGCAGGGAAACACAAGTTGGTGCACAGGCAAGGGGAGAAATGTTATGTGTGGGACCCGGGATGAGTCTGAGATGTGGTACAATGGGAGTATCTTTGGTTAAGAACCAACTGTCTCTTGA